GTATTATTATTTTACATGATGGTTCACCATTAGCATATGCATCATCAATTTGTTTATTTTGTTGTAATGGATAATTATTCCATTTAACAGCACGTTCATCAAACCATTGCCATACACGATTATAATTACGATAATTTTGATTTATAATTGAACGACGTTTTGATGCTAATGAAACTTTTTCATATAAATCAATAAATATAAAAACAGGTGATAACCATGTTGGTGTTTTTTTTTCATTAAATTTAATTAAATAATCTGTTGTACGATGTATTAATATACAAAAATAATTAATTAATGAAAATTTTTCTGCTATACGTGCACATGGAAATGGCATTTCTTCAAATAATAATGACATTAATAATGTACGACTAAATAAAACAGAATTTTGATGATCATTTAAAAAATTTAATATTATTTGTTCATCATTATTTTGTTGATTTAAAAAATTTTTATCTAATAAATCAATTAAATTTAAATAACTTGTTTTTATATCGTTTGCTATTATTTCAAGAAAATGATCACGCCATATAATACCATTACGATGCATTGTTGTTACAACAAGTTCACACATTTTATAAACTGTATCAGGTAATATATCAAGAATTTTTAACATAATTGAATCTGTAAAACGATCAACAGATTCTTTTGATAATGATTCAATAATAGGTAAAGATTTTTGTTGATTTTCAATTGATATTTGATTTTGTATTGTTGTATCAGTATTTGTTGTTGTTGTTGTTGTTGTTATAGTTGTTGATAAATTTGTAGATGATATTGAATTTATTTCATTTGTAGTATTATTATTATCTCTTGATAATGCAGCTAATGCAGCTATTGGATTAGCTAATGATGTTTCATCAACATCTTGTCCTAATGATAATAATAAAGCACGTGCCATATCAGCATCCATATCAGGTAGATTTGTTTGTGTTTGTGGTGTTATAACAGCTTGTGGATGATTAACACAATAATCAACAGCTAATTCAAGACTATTATTTGTTTGTAATAAACCTTCAATAGCATGTTCACGTGAAAAACCCATCATTGTTATTGATTGTATAAGATCTTCATTTAATTGTGTTGAAATATTTGGTATTAATGCTGATGAACCAGGTAAATCAGTATCAGTATTTGTTTGTTGTTGTTGTTGATTAATTTCATTTGTTGGATTAGTTGTTGATGATGATGATGTTGTTGCTGCCGCTGCTGCTGCCGCTGCTGTTGTTGATGTTGTTGTTGTTGTTGGTAAATTTTGTTGTTGTTGCTGTTGTTGTTGTTGTTGTTGTTGTTGTTGTTGTTGCTGTTGCTGTTGTTGTTGTTGTTCTTCATCTTGAAGTTTTTTTTGTATTTGTGATTCACCACGTAATATATGACAAAATATTGATAATATACTATCAATAATTTTTGTTGCATGATCTTTTAATAAATATGGTTTATCCCATAGAACAGAACATGAATTTGTTAATATATGAAATGCACATTTATGTGTTAATGCTAAATAATGTAATGGATTAAATGGAATAAAATAACTACGTTCTGTTTGTGGTTTTTTAGGTATTGAATGTGGTGTTTCAAGTATAGATTTAACATTAACTAAACGTAATATTAACATTAATGCTGAATTAAGAAATTCTGTTGGTGATGCATCATATGTATTATTATTATTATTATTATTATTATTATTATTGTTATTATTATTTATTTGTTGTGTTGATGTTTGTTGATCATCATTAATTAATGATTGACGATTAATTAAACCAAGTGTCCATTCAAGTGAAGAAAAAAGTGCATCTTGAGCTTTAGATAATTCAAATTGTTGTAACATTAACATATAAGGACGACGACGTTCATCAAATAACATTGGAGTAGCAAAACTAAATAACAAAAAAAAAAAAGAAAACAAACTTTTTTAATATTTAAATATGCCCTTTTCTTTAATAAAATATTTCAATGTGCTCATTGATCTCAGATCTGAAAATTTTGGACTTCAATGAACTCTATCGTGTTGTCAGTGTACACTAACAATCGGACACATCTCTATTTACGTCTGTCATCCCTGCTAAATAAAATATGTTTTAAATATCTTACCCTATTGTACAAACAAAAAAAGTTAAACGAAATTTTTCAATTTGATATTCAGTTAAATTAATATTTCCTGGTAAATGAAATAAAAATCCATCACGTAAAACTTCTGTTAATGTTGATGCAACAAGTTTTGCAGCAGCTGTTGGTATATATGGTGTTGGTGGTTGATTAAAACGTCTTGCATGTCGTAATTGTGATGTTGAACATTGTTTAACAAGTAAATTATATAATTCACTTAATGCTCGTCCTAATTTTGATGAAACACATAATAATGGTTTAATTGTTTTAATACGTTGTTGAATATTAAATGATAATTTTAATTTTAATTTTGTAAAATCACTTGTATCCATTGACATAATTTCATCAATATCAAATGTACGTGTCATTTCATTTGTTGTTAAATCATTTAATTGTGTTGAAACATTTTGTAATGGTGATATTGTATTTGTTAAATCATTTATTAATGGAAATAATTTTAATAAATCATTTTTATTAAATTGTTGATCAATTATATTTGTTTCTGATGAACATAATGATAATAATATTGAACTTTCCCATATTAATGTTAAACATAATTTATTTAAATTTTTTAATACACGTATACCTGTTTCAGCACCCCAAAAACTAATTAATATACTACGTACTTCATTTTGTGTTATTTTACATAATGAGATTAATAATGATATATGAGAATGAACAATAGATAATTGATGAAGTATAGGTGTTAATGATGATTGATTAATAGCATCCATTGGATCAATTGATATTGTTGTTGTTGTTGTTGTTGATGATGATACAGCACGTGCTAATTCTTCTATTAATAATGAACCATCATATGTACGATTTGAATAAAAATCAGTTAAAGAATTTAATATTATATCAAGATTTGTTATAACCATTTCAATTAATTTATTATCTTTAACTAAAAGAGTCTAAAATTTAAAAAAAAAAAAATTTTTTTTTTGCATTGTTTTCTAATAAATAAAATAAATTTACCAATGTTGATTTACAAAGTGCAGCAACACATTGACAAGCTGGACTTGATGGAAAATCAATAGGTAAATTTTTCATTTGTAAAATATCAAGTAAAGGTTTTAAACCTCCTAATTTAACAAATTCTTTACCATGATCATCAGTTGTATTATTACTAATAACACCTTCAACAAAACGCATTATATTTGTTATATAATCAAGTAATGGTACAGCTATTGGAATAGTTTCATCATCAGATTTTTTTTCACTTAATAATGTTTGATCAAGTATTATTGGAATATCTGTTATTGTTATTGCTGTTGGAGGTGATTCATTTACTCCTATTATAGATGTAGTTGTTGTAGATGATGGTGGTACTGTTGATTGTGATTGTACTGAACGATTAGCTAATGGTGCTTCATCATTTGTTGCTTCATCATCATCATATTCATCATCAGATGAATTTCTATCATTTCCACCTGTATTTGTATTTGTTGTATTTGTTGTACGTACAGTACGATGTTGTGTACGTATTGTATCTGTTAATTTTGTTGTTGTTGTTGATGATGATGATGATGATGAATGTGGTTTTTGACAACAATATTTAGGATTATTACCTAATTCAACAAGTTGTTCAAGTAATTTAATTATTGATTTCATAGCTTCTGTACGTAAACTAACTTGATGTCTCATTAATTCATCAACAGCATTACCAAGACTTGATGCTGTACCATAAAGTGTATCATTACCACGTCGTCGTCTCATTGCTGGTAAATATTCAGGTGATAATAAAACACCAAATAATTTATCAAATGGTTTATATTCCATAAATGTTTCTAAACCACGTGTATTTAAACATAATGCACTAAATATATTTGGTAATGATGCTAAAACATCACGTGCTGCAGGTACATCTTTTTTTAAAAGTGCATGCATTAAAACATCAGTTAAACCATTATCTTGTAATGATGATAATTGTGATGGTTCTTGAAATATAAATGATGTAACAACATCAGTTGCTAAATGAAATAATGATGGACCATAATATTCAGCATTACTTATAATATGTTTTAATGAATTTGGTAATGAACCATCCATTATATGACGTGTTGTATCAGCCATTGTTGTTTCAGTAAAAGCTCGTTTTAAATAATTTAATATTGATTTAAGTAATGCAGCACGTTGATGATAACATGTTAAACCAGGTATTGGACTATTTGGCATTAATTCATGATTTTCATCTAAAAGTTCACTTGTATCCATATCTTTTGATAAATGATTTGGTGTTGTTATTGTTGTTGTTGTTGTTGTTGTTGTTAATGTTGGATGTTCACCAGATATATCTGAACGTGCACTTGGTGATAATGGAGGAAGTGTATCAAGATTTATTGTTGGTGTTCCTTGTGTACGTTTTGATATACGTATTATAAATGGTTGTTCTTTTCGACATTGTGTTATTTCATGCTAAAAATTTATTTTATTTAGTAATTTGAAAAAAAAAGAAAATTTTTTTTTGTTCTCATGCTTAAATAGAACTTGTCAAGTTACCTATAGAAATGTGTCAAATGGAATGAATATCATATTTCAGAAACAACAACAAAAAAAAATCAACATTAATGTAATATTCAAAATTAATTCTCGTCAAATTTTGACCTTAGAAAGAATGTATACAGGTCAGAGTACGTAAAAATAGCTAAGGACTGAATATTTGCAAGATGATCCGGGTCATGCACTCGTTCACATCGGGAACAACAATGTTTGGTCGCATTCATCACGTAGAAAGGATCGAGTGTATTTTCGCTCATAAGTAGGCTTCGACGAGATTAGTAGTAGAAATCTATAAGGCTCTGTATCCAGTAATTAAAAATTTACTGAATTTTTTTCATATTCCCGGTTCTCATCGAGATCTACTTAAGAGCTAAATGTCAGTTCGATTGGAGAATCAGAGAAATTCTCTTATTAGAATACAAACGCCAAATTTTTTTTTTTCGATCTAAATTTTCCTACAAATACATTGCCTATAGGTAACTTGACGTTCATGACAAAAAAATTTCGAATAATCAATATCAAATAGAAAAATATTTCTTGTTCAATAAGTAGGTAATGCTATTTATACATTTAATAGATATAAATTGCGACCGTTCTTATTAGATATATGTTTTTTTCTTGCTCTCACATTGACACTTCTAATCACAAAATATCATAGAAATGCTTCGATAGGAGCTTGTACATGAGACCTTCTATTTCCTTATGACTAGAACAAATGAATTAAAATAAACATACTTCTAAACGATTAATAAATGCTTGTAAACCATTATTTGTTTGAAATGATGTTATATCTAATGATGTAATTAAATCAATAACACGAACAGCACGTGTAACAAACTAAAATACAAAAAGAAAAAAAAAAAAATGAATTTTTTTTTCTATTTTTTTTCTTACCATAATAAAATCTTGAGATTCATCATAATAATTAACAACTTTAATTAATGATTGCATTATACCACAATTAACTAATGCATCACCACCTGTTTCATAAGATGCCAAATGATAAAGAAATGAAAATAAGGCTGTTGATAATGATTGAGGAAATCGTTCATTACTATCATCTAATTTATATACAAAAAATCAAATTAATTATTTTATATTTCAATACAAAAAAAAAAAAAAATAATTTTACCAGTTAATTTATCAATACATTGTCGTACAAGTGCTGGTAAAAATCCATGATATGAATTTGCTTGTGTTGTTTCAATTATTTCTTGTAAACGTGGTGGATGTCTAAAATAAAAATTAAATAATAAAAAAGAAAAACCTATATATTTGAAATAGATAATTTACTTTGTTGTTCGTTCAAGATGAATTATTGATGTTAAAGTTTTTAATGCTGAAGCTTTTATATCCTGTTTTTTTTTTTTTAAGAAAGAAAATATATTTGTTTTTTTTTTTTATTAATTTATGTATAAACATACTGTTAATGTTGGATCACGAACATTTAATACTTCAACAAGTTCTTCAATTAAACCATCATATAAAACATTATTTGCTTCTTGCATTCCTGAAGAATAAACTAAAAAATAAATTTTTACTTTTTTTTTGTTTTGTAAATATTTAAATTCTAATTTTTACTAAGAATAGATAAGGCTTGTAATCGTGCTTGAATACATAATAAACGTTGATCAAATGATGGAAATGCATAAGCTAAACGAAGATGTGTAAATAATTTTATTTGTTTATCTTCCGGTAATGGATGTTCAGCAAGAACCATTTCCATTACGGCAGCAGCATTAACTCCAGCTAAATGAACATTTGGAATATCGATTTGTTTTGAAATATGCTAAAAAACAATTATCATATATTCTAAATAAAGAAAACAAAAAGAATTTTCTTTACCAATGTTGGTCCACTAGTTGTTGTTGATTCCGACGGTACTGTATATGCAAAATGTAGATTTGTTGCATGTTCAGGAAAATCCTATCAAGATAGTAGAAAAAAAGTTTTAATAACAATATATTTTTCTCTATAATGTTAAGCATCTAATTAAAATTCGGATAAGGATTTTGATTAACTAATGAAATTTTCTTTTATCAAGATTTCATAGATGAATTATGATGGCAATCAGAAGACAATTTTTTTGTAACAATACCATTAAAAAAATTTTGAAAGGCTGACAGAAAATTTTGTCATATCTTAGTTCAATACTATTTGACACTTATAGGAATTATCAAAAGTCTCTTAATTTATTATTCAATCTAGTCTTTTTGGTTTTTTAAAAAATTTCTTCATTAGTCTCGAACAAAAATTTCTAAAGTCATACTAGGAAACTGTATGATACACTGGTCCTAACTCATAGTTCTTGAAAACTTTCTCTCAAGAAAGTCAAAAATAAACAAATATTTCGACTCACTTATTAAATTTTGTTTACTTTTAACTTTTTCAGAGAAGGTCATAGAAAATCTGACGATCACTCATTTTATTCTCTTTAAAATGGTATTTTCAAAAAATACCGTGTCGGCTGTTTTTCTTTTTAGAAAACTTCATTGCCTATTATAATCACTATCTAGATGGTTAATATTATGGAAAAAATAAAAATTATCAATATTTACTGATGGATTTCGAACACTACAACAACGAGCTAAATCGAAACCATTCTCTCGTCCACCCCAAGTCTAAAATACAAAAAAAAAAAAGAAATAGAAAAATATTTTCACAAAAAAAATTTTACTTCAGCTAAGTAAATAAGTCGACCAATTAATGCTTGTTTTTTATCAATTTGAAGTCTTGTTATAAAATTTGAACGTTTACTGAATACATATAGAAGTGATAAAACACCAAGTACAATATGTACATCAGATGATTGTAATAGTATAATTAAATATTCAATTGAATTATATAAATGACGAGAATATGAATGTTCAATTAATAATGCAGTAAAATGAAGAATATCAAGTACTAACATTTTTAACTAAATATGAAAAAAAAAAAAATAGAAGAATATACTATATGTATTGAAGCGTTATAATAGAATTCTTTTCCTGAAATTCGAGTTGTTTCATATATACACTACGATAGGGACATTCATCAATTAACAAACAAAAGAATGAAGAAGATATTCTAGTAGACTTTAATAAAATCCTAATTGAAATATTGATGCATATCAAAACTATTGAATAGGATCTAGATTTTCATTTATTATCTAGGAATAGAAAATGACAGCATTACCTTCTATCGAATAAGAAAAAGTCCTTATTGACCTAATAAATAATTTCTAATTAATCAAAACAAACCTCTCCATTTTCTGGTTTGTCACAATTGAGCATCCATGTACCCGTTTTTATACAAGCTTCTTCTAGAATTGAATCGAATAAATCCAATGCATCAATCCAATGATATAGTTCACACTAGAAAATAACAAACAATAGATATATATGCTGTTTCTTTTTTAATATAAAAGAAAAACAAAACAATAAAAAAAAAAACAATTAATTGCATAATAACAAGAAATCGATCAACTAACTTTGGTAAACTATGAAAATTGAGTGTCGAGAAAAAGTAAATTATTTAATTAAGTTTTTTCTTTTAAATAGAGAAGGTCAATAACTTACTTTTCCAATATGCCAAATAGTAATTGGTTTTAATAGGTCATGAAGTTCTTTTCGATCACAACTTTTTAGTTTATCAATAAATAATTTACAATCAGCCGGCTATTATAAACGAAAAAAAAAAAAAACAAACAAATAAACAAACAAATGATTAATAAATATAATAAAAATTTAAATTTTCTTACTGGTTCCGGTAGATATTTTTTTAATTTCGATCGATCAATTTTCATATTTTGTTAACAAAGATAAATAACAAAAATCATCTGCAAAAAAAAACACAAAAAAAAAAGTACTAAGAAAAATGCCCTCTGTAATTTCACGTGGATGTATATATATATATATGTGTCTGTCGACGATGATGAAAAAGAAGAGAACGATATGACTATGAATCAGATATAACTTTTACCTTCATATTTATAAGAAGAAATTACCCATCGATCATTTTTTCTGATAAACTTTTATGTTCTAAGTAAATAAAGACGAAAAAGAAACCTTTTTTTTTTTGTTTTTTTTCTCAATGATGTTTGGTTTAAAAATTTCTTTTCTCACCTTTTTTTTCTTTTATTATTCAAGCACCATCTATCATACACACATATACATTTAATGAATAGAGTTCAATAATTATTGGATATGGTTGTTAATGTGACATTAGTTAAAATATGGATAAAAAGAAAAGAGAACGGTTTACTACTTCGTTTTCTTTTACTTTTTATGAAGCAAAGAAAAAGATCAATCAATTTTTTTGTTTTTTTTTTCTGTTTGCTACTTTAAATTGACCAATCATTTTATTTTTATTCAGATTTTCATTCTTTTTTTTGCTTCAATGATGTCTTGTTTATTTATGTTATATATTTACAATCATTATTATTATTAATGTCAAAAAAAAGAAGAAATTCTTTTCAAATTTATATCAAGATTTCTCTTTCTATCTTATGAATATAATACATAAAATTTTGTGATTGATAGTAACAAAGAAGAACCAAAATGAATGATCAATTTACGTAAGAAATTTATTTCGAATGTTTCTTCTTTTCAATAAATATTTTAATGAAAAATTGAGATATAACTTATCCTTGAAATAATGAATAGATTATGATTAAGTCGGAGTTGCTATGGTGTCAGATCGGATTCTGCTTTTAATAGAAATGATAAACTTGTAAACAATTTAATGAGTTTTATGATGTAAAACTCATAATACTGTTTAATTTTAGCAAAAAAATGTTATATTTTCTCCACACACACTCATACAATGAATGATAATTATTAAAGTCTCATTAGATTTCAACTTAGTTAATATTTCTTGTCTTTATTCGAGTAAAATCCAAAACATTAGAATTTCTTTTACATCTCTAAATATTCTTCTGTTCGTTCAAATTTTCTACAATTTTTTTTCTAAAATATTTATTCTTAGAACACAAACAGCACCAGCACCAATAGTTTTAAAATTGAAAAAATACGACGATCATCATCCTGATGTTATACTTCCTCATACATCGTAAGCAATTTTTTTTTTATTTTCTATTATTAATTAATGGTTAATTGTTTTTTTTCTTTCTATTTGTTACTAGTCATTTATCAACAGAAACTATCGATGATGGACTTCCAATTTCATCATCATCAATTATTCGAAATAATGAAAGTACTAGTATTATAACAACATCACCTTCAACACTTCGTGTCAAATTAAAAAATCCATTTATTAATGGTAGTACTGATCATAATGATGAAGAATATACAGAGTATATAATAAAAACACAATTTTATTTTTTTATTATTATTTAATTTAATTACAATTTTAGTTCAATGTTGTCAGAAAATATAACTCGTCCAGCTAAACGTAGTAAAAAATCATTATCAAATGATAATGTTAGTAATAACATGTAAGTAAAATTATTAATATAATACTTTCTACATTGAATTCCATAGTCTTTTCTATTACTATAAGATCTAACCTTAAATTACAAATTCCTTTCAGTAATATTTTATTCACATTTACTAAGAAAATACCATCCATTGATTTATACAGTTGATACAAAAAAAAATAATAAAATACATAGGTCTACTGGTATTTCCAAAAGGTAGAGATATGTGGGACCAAGACTATGGGAAAGATAAGTTGCCGAGAATCATCAATTAAAACATAATTCCAGAGAGATAACCTAAGAATATGCTAATCGTCGACTAAATAAATATTAAAGAATTTTTTCTCTCTAGACTAAGACTACTAGAAAAGAAGTTACCGAGATTGGGAACAAAAGAAAACTTGGTCCTGCACATGTCTAGTCATGAGCTAGAAATTTGAGCAAAAGTTTTTCAATTGACCTTCTAAGTCATTGATAATAATGGGATACCCTGGATATCTGTATAATATTTGATTGATTGTAAAATATTAATAGATTTTATTTCTATTTTCTATGATCATATAAAATCATTCGAGCAAAACAAAATATGAAATAATAATTTCTTTTCTTTAGTACATTATGATTTGTCCTTGTTATTTACCTATAAAAACAAAAGCTTCTTAATAGTCATTAATTTCTATAATATACTTTAATTTTTTTTTTTTTTGTTTTAGATCAAATACTGACTTAAATAATGATTATATGTCTAGTCAACAAGAAAAACAAATTATTGGGTAAGTTATTCATTCTACAAATAATAAATGAAAAATTATTGATGATCTTTTTTTTTGTTTTTAAATAGTACACAACAAGAACATTGTATAACAACTGAACAATCTTTAACTTCACCATTAGTTCTTAAAATTCGTCGAGATAGTTTAACTATGACAACTACAAATTCAGCGAATGGGTAATTTGATATTTTCACCTTTGAATATAAGACCTTCTATACATTTTTTTTTCTCTCTCTCTCTCTCTTCTATGTGCTTATATGCTTAAGCAAATATATATATATATATACATATCCGGCTTGTTTGAGTTGGAATGTACGGTTTCCTTTTTTTTTTCTTCTCTCCCGTTTATTTTCTTTCCTCCTGTCAACGAACACAATTGGCTACAAACACATATGTATATACATAGTTCAATATATTTATACGTATCTTTATTTTGTTCTTCGCCTTGTGTGTATATATTTTGTTTTATTTATTTATTTATTTATTTAGAATTTCATCAATAGTTGAAAATGAAACAAATCGACAATTATTAATTAAACTTAAAAAAAATGAAAATGGTGAATTAATAACAAGTAAAAATTCAATGTCAACAGAATATTTAATAAATGAACAAGAAAAATGTTCAATAACAAATGATATTTCATTAACAAATTATTCTGAAACAATACATACAAATGGTCATCATAATGATTCATCATATAAATCATTAACTACACCACATATTACAAATATGTTATCAAATATAAATACAGATAATAATAATTCAATATCTCAACAAAAAACAATAGATCAAACTGCTGAAACGTTAGTTAAATTTCTATCTTCTATTGTATATTTCAAAATTACTTTTTTTATTTTTCTTTTAGTCATACAAAAGAACTTTTAGATGAAGCATTAGATAGTGTAAAAAATGTTTTAATGCAAACATTTAAAAAAAATTTGGAAGCAGGCGGTGATCTTAAGTATATATAAGAATTATTTTACGAAATAAAATTTTTTCTATATTCTTTTTTTTTTTGTATAGTGCTTTAAAAAGTTCACTGGGTTCCGATGAAGTTGCAGAAGTATTTCTTGCAAAATTACGACAATCACTTAAACGTGATAGTGAAAATGAATCAAAATCTCAAGAGTATATATTTTTGTTTTTTTTTTAATTAAAATAATAAAAAAAATTATTATATTATTTTTTTTATATTATTTAAATTAGAATTATTAATGTAAATACTGAAGTTTCTTCATCACAAATTTCTACAACATCAACTTGTTCAAATACAGTGATATCACCAGTAATGAATGTTGTTTCATCACCTTCATCATCACCATTATTACCATCAATGTCAACATTAATTAATAAAAATACTTCACCATCATTATCACCACAATCACAAATACCAACAATTAATAATAAAAGAAAATCTTCAATACCATCAACAAATCCAAATCGTTTTGATGGTACAACAGAAGAAGAATTAACTAAACGTGTTCTATCAGATATTCTTCAACCAAATCTTGATATTGTTTTCGTATGCTATTTTGTTTTTTTTTTTTTAATTTACATCTCTTGTTGCAATAGAAGTTCGAATATGATTTAGTTTCATCGATATTAGAATAGTAAAAACAAAAAAGATGATAGCCAACTTTACTGAAGATGTATTTTTTTTTTTGAGAATGAAAACTTTTCTTATAAATCGGTAGAGCAGAAGTCCTAGTTTCAGATCAGAGATCATCGTCAGGACAAAATAATGTGTGTTTTGATAATAGTTTTTCAGAAAAAATTGTTTCCTAAATGTAAACATGAGCTAATGATGATTTTATGTTTTCGATTGGTTTCATTAGAACTTGTGTATATGATATTTGTTCGAAATTATCATCGTTCTACATAGACTTTTTCAATTTCGAGGATATTCAACACCTCTTATTAAATTATAAGTAGTGCGTCAAGCAAATAATAATAAAATGAATCTTGACTTGTTGCTAAATGTTGATGAAAGACTTTGACTCAATTAAATGCTGATAACTACTTACAAAGAATCCCTGTTGTCATTGACGAATATCTTTTCTTTTTTTTTTTTGCATGAATATGGTACTAGTGTCATGTGGAAAAATCAAGAATAAATTAAAATGATATTATTCGTATTCTATTATAATCTGATTTTTAATTGTCAAATTTTAAAGATATGAGCACTGAATATAAACATGCTAAAAATTTTTTGTTATGTTACCAACCCATTCCATAATTGATTTCAATTTACATACCCTAAGGATAAGACACGACGAGAAAAAAAAATGCCCTGTAACAGTCTCTGATCCACATCATATCATGATATTACGATCAGAAGAATTATAAATTGGTTAATATGTAATAATGTTCAAATATCTATTCTCAGACAAAAAGTAGCGGTTACAGAATATATAGTGATCGTGATTTCAAGCATCGATGAAAAATGAAATTTATTTCTAGAGATTATGACTGTTTGACGCCTGAAGAAATATTTTTTTATATGTAAATGGCACCTGGCCGAGATTAATTTAATAACATCTGCGAAATTTTCTAAAATTGTTTAGATACAATAGAATTTCTAGTGCTTCTATTTT